AGGGATTTCTTTGTTTCACAAACTAGATGTTAGTAGTTAGCAGGAAGTTAGCTCGCTAGCTTCCACCAAAACATGATATCTAGACTTTAAGTGAAGACGTGATGAATCTTGCTTTCGGGCCCAAACTATTCTCCGTTTAATAAGGCTGTTGTGTTTTTAACTTGTTTTAATACTTTGTGTCTTGTTCTGTTTAATCTCAACAAACAGTCAGTGATCATTGTCAGCCTCTCTCGGCAATGATGGTTTGGCTTTGGGATCTGCAGCGGAGTTTGGATCCAGACATGGCTAATGATGTCAGACTTAAGACCGGATGCCATGTTCTGACTGAGAGATTTCTGAAAAAACTAAAACGTACAGCTCTGTTATCACTTCCAACATAAATTAAGACAGAAAACTAAACAGCAGTGACGTTGGTAGGGTTACTGAAGATGTGCTAGCTGGTATATATTGATGTCCTATGTGATCGCTAGCAAAACAGCTACGTAAGCATAACATAAACACTAAAGCTCGAGGATGAATTCTAACTTTTTTCCACTCTATAAAAGTTAACTTGAGGGTTCCCAGTGATTAGGGACAAATGCAGTCGCATGGCAGGATGCTGTAAACAGACCAAACTTCAGTCAGAAGAACAACTGAGATAATCCATCCACAATATGAGGTTAGTCATTAATATACTGCAACAACATGGGAATAGGGCAGCTGTGAGAAAATTCATCATTATTGAATCAATGGTACAGAATTGGAGGAACCAAGAAGAATGAGTTGAGTAAAGTTTGACTTATCTGACTGTTTTGTTTCGCTTAATGCGCCTTATCATTCTGTGCACCTTATGTATGAAAACTGACCTGTTCATCGACAGTATGCCTTATGGTCCGAAAAAAACAAACAAAACGGTACATAAATGAGACACATCTACACCATCCTGCCGTCCTGCCCTGTGTTAGCAGATAACACTGTAAAGCTCTGTAATGTCATAACTGACAGCTTTTGAACTGTTTTGCAGTAACAGTTGTGAACCAGGGCTACTGCAGGATTCTTATACTTTAAGTTAATCTGCAAATGAACATAATTAATGATATGATTCATTAATAGATGTGAGGAAAAAGGCAGTTGATAATTCAGGTATTCATTCTATTCTGCTTGAATATTAAATAGTGACTACAGACTGGGTGTTGCAGCACTCACAGCAGTTTACAAACAGGAAGAACATGATGTAAAGTGAGACGCTTAAACTGTTTATATAAGAAACAGAAGAAAATTCAGACCTGCCTGATCCATATGTGTTAGCAGCAGCTGTACTTTGATTGATACTGAACAGGAAGCACATATTCTTTAAATATCATGAAGCACAAGACTGTGTCCACATACTGTGTATATGTCAAGTAATAATAATAATAATAATAATAATAATAATACAGACCTAATTACTCTGTGTTAATCACAGATAAATTACTAAGAGCACTCAAAACTTGTTCACAGCTTTCCTCTCTGACATTCACAAGCTGCAGTTCACCTATCTTTAGATCTATAGTGTTTTGGTGTTTGCTCAGGGATTTGAAGGGCTTCTTTTCTTGTATTGTGAGGTTAGATGGAGGATTTTTTATTTTTTTTGCATTAGAGAGGGTGGCCGAAATCTTTGTCCTGATAGCTCTGCTACAGGTTGTGTTCATTTTTTAGTTCCTATCCTAATCGCTGTTGCTGCTGCTGGGGCAGACCCAAGCGCAGACAAAGGTGAAGAGACAAAACTGGACTTAACAAAAAGCGAGCCTTTATTTAGGGCAGAAAACTCACAAAAATACAAAAAGGCAAAACCGAAGGAAAACCTGAACATAAACTGAGAAACTATGACTAGGACTCACAGTGAATTTATACTACGATTAACCAAAATAACAACTGTGAGTTACTGTGACCTGACTGGGAAACTGTGACAATGGGTAGGAGAGATAACACAGATGACGCAACACCGAACACAGGAAGACTGAGGACTTAAATACACACATAAGGTGATCAGGGGAAGTGGAGACACATAAGGACGCAGCTGACTAGAATGAAACATAATGACACAGGGGAGAGTAAAGCTAACCTCATGAACACAGAACACAAGACCCTTTCCAAAATAAAACAGGAAACATGAAGATTTAGACACGACAACACACGCTTAACAGACCTAACACACATGACAGACTAGACAAGGAACCAAACACAGAAACCAAGGAGACAGATGATAAAAAAATCACTAACCTAACATGAAAACTTAAACTCAAAATCAAACTCAAAACGCTGGTTCAGAGACCCAGCCTGTGACACTATGGGCAGCTATTGTAAAGAAATAGCAGCATTGAGTCCTTTGGCCAGCACCTTCTTTTCAGGTTCAGTGAGGTTCCTGTCTGAAAAGTTCTTCACCCTTTCATTCTGACTGTCCTTGGCTGTGGTGTCTTCCTGTTTTTGCCTCTACTGTCTAGGCATCAACTGGGAAATTTAAGTTTTCATTCGAAATGTATGGAATTTTAAATGTTGTCTTTGAGACTTGTGGTATTGTTTGTCTTTTGGTATTTCCATATTGGGTTCCTGCCTGTCTTTTTGTTTGTGTTATTGGTGTCTTGATTTAATAGTGTAATATTTGTGGAGTTTCTTATTTGAGTTTTATACATTGTGCTTTCTTCACTGTGTTTTTTGTTCTGGGCATTTTCTCCTCTCATTGTATTTAGTTCCCAGCGGCTTACTTAACAGATTGGATTTTTTTTTACGTCCTGATGATTTCCTGTGGTTATACTTTAGTTACTTTCTGCTTGGTGGTTTGTTGACCTAAATAATAATTGTAGATGCTTCTGTGAGTGCAAGCAAGAGTGCTCCATTAATCTATGTATGGGTACAATGTGAATAGCAACATATCAGTCGAAAAACATGCTTTGCAGGTGTTGTTTTGGTCTTTTTGTGATAATGTGAGCGCATTTTGCAGAAACCAATAATTACAATAAATATAACTTGGTGGAAACTTTATTGCAAGATATATTGATATACATGATTCAACTCTGCGCTGGAGCATTATCTTTAAAAGGATTTTCAGAGTGCGTATTAAACATATCTAGTCTGTCTTGGTTCTGTTTCTTTAATGACAGTTAGAATTGCTCAGGACTGCATCACTTATTTGGAAATATAACCAAACGTGTTTTAGATTTCATCGTTTCAGTAGTCAAACAGTTTATTTTGCTGAAGGATCAACTTTAAAAACGCTAACGATGAATGTAAAAACATAAAACATGGAAACACTTCACTTGTCGATTATGATTTCAGTTAAAAAAATATAGATGTCTCTATGAATTGGTAACCAAACCATGTGGCTGTCACAGTTTTGTGAGGTGTTCCTTTAAGTAAATAAGAGACACAAAAAGTAACAGTGTACGTAGGTAACATACATGCATCGCGCAGGTGTTTTACACAGAAAAACCACACTGAGTTTCACATTGCTAGTGTTCTCTCACTTCCGTCACATTAACATGACAAGAGACCAGTGAAACCACGGAGCTGTTGGCTGATGAAACTGTGAGTCCCTTCATTATTGTCACTTTTAGTTTAGATTCTAGTCAGGTCTGAATCTAAAATCTAAATCTAAATTGATCAGTAATCAGCAGTTACACATCAATATAACTATTTATAACTATATTGTATTGACAAGCCTGATAAACTGCTCTGACTTTACTTTATATATGTTACAGATGAATGGTGTCCTAAAGGCTAATCTTTTATTTTTACATAAGTGTTACTGTGGTGACTTTTTCATAATTCATCTCCATAATTGTATGTCATAATTGTATATATATTATAGAAATTCATTATATATAATATAATATATATATATATCATAATATATATACTATACTTATATATATATATAATACATGCAGATCTTTTCATGGGAATTTCTACAAATGCTTCTTTGTACCTTGAATAGTTTTTGCCCTTAATATCTTCCTGCCTGCCCACTGATTGTGAAGCTATGTGGACATATATGCTCTCTGATCAGAAGTGAACAGCATGCATTTCTGTGAAATCTTTCAGCTTTACAACTTCAGCAGATATGAACAGAAACTGAATGTGGGCAGAAGGAAAACTCAAAAGTGACTTTTAAAAACTTTTTTTCTTTTTCTAACTCTTCAAAGCTACATCATGATCACAAGGTAGGATGCTCCAGTGTTTTATTCTTAATACCTGTTTTTTTTTTACGCATGGTTTGGTTAAATTAACACTATTTATAAATGAGGTGCTTCAAAACCATTGTACAGGTCAGCCACTGATTTATTTTTAAATGCTCTACTTTCCACTTCTATAAAGGTTTCTTTCTGTGAGTTTTACTGTTATCAGACACCACTGAAAGTTAGAATCCCCTCCAAACAGCTGCTGGGGATTCTGCATCTGATGTTGTGCTGCATTGTAGCCCCTCTGATGCTTATTGAATATCCTGTTGATAATTTCCACCTGTTTATATTTGATTGTAAATTTTACAGCTACT